CTCTCTCTCTCTCTCTCTCTAATTATAATAAACCAGTCAATGGTGGGCCATGCCTTTAACTCTAGAATTTGGGAAACTGAGGCAGGTGGAACTCTGTGAGTTAGAGGATACCCTCGTCTAGATATTGAATTCTAAGCCAGCCAGAAGACTCTATAATTAACATGTGTGTGTGTGTGTGTGTGTAAAGCTAGAGGGACATCAGGTAGGGTTTCATTGCGGTGATGATACGTCATGACTATGACAACTCTTATTTATTTGTTGTTGGTTGGTTGGTTGGTTGGTTGGTTGGTTGGTTTTTGAGACAGAACTTCTTTGTGTAGCCCTAGTTGTCCTGGAACTAGCTCTGTAGACCAGACTGGCCTTGAACTCACAGAGATCTGTCTGCTTCTACCTTGGGATTAAAGGTATGCACCACCACGGCCCATTGTTGTCTTGGTGGGAAGCATGGTGATGTGCAGGTAGATATGGTGCTGGAAAAAGAGATGAGAGTTTTACATCCAGACCCAAAGGCAGCAGGAAGAAAATGATGCACTTGGTCTGGCTTGAGCTTCTGAGACCTCAAAGCTTTCCCACAGTGACATACTTCCTCCAACAAGGCCACAACTCCTAATATACACTCTTACAAGTCTATAGGGCCATTTTCTTTCAAAACACCACAGGCATTATCCTTCCTGTCCTTCCCTCTGGTCTCTCTAGACTTACTATTAATGCCGCGCAGCCATCCCTAAGGAGTCCCTCTCAGTACACCTTCATCCCCTGCAGACTCCATCTCTTGGTGAAGACTCATGGTCTGTTGCCCTGCTAATTAAGGTTGAAGTCCGCTATTGTCCAGATAGCTTTCTGAGCTTTGTACAAAATGGCAGACTCACTTTGTCAGTGACGCTTCCTCTTCTCAACCTGGGGGATCCCAGACCCACACCCTATGCCTGTGGAATGTCACATAGCCTTGGTTAAGGTTACAGGTTCAACTTCCTTTCTCCTGATAAGAACCTGTTCAGCTAGGACCGAGATTCCTGAAATGATTCCCCAAAGTAATGAGGCATCTTAGTACCTTAAACCTTCAGTCCATCCTGTATACTCTTACACTGACTCCCACCAAGGTCCCCTGCTCTCCCCAAAACTATATAACCTTTGAATCACCCCATATAAAGTTGATCTGTCTCCCCACAGCTAGTCTCTGTGTGCTGTCGTTACTGTACACACTCACAGGGACCCTGAACCCTAGCCACCATCTGTCATCATCTCAGCTCCGTTTGCCCTTGTAGACCTGATATCAGCTAGCGACGTTAATTAAAGTGTTTGGCTTTCGTAGTCTAAGACTCTTGCATTAGTTCTTCTAAATCTCTATCCCTTTTGAAAAACATCCATTATTGCCTTATAAAATAAGCACTCAGTGTCTTATAAAAGTTAATCTAAAATTATATGAGCTGTATCAAAGGCAATGCTACGCTTTTATAAGGGCCTTTTAAACACAAATAAAATAGCGGTACTGGTCACAGCTTTGCACAGTGAGCTCCCAAGAGATGAAAGTGTACCCCCCCCTCAATCAAACAGCTGATTTCATCAGATAAAACAAAAAAAGATTTTTGCTTCAAATATTCCCTTCTCCTGCAGAGAAAGGATTTTTTTTTTCATTTGGAAAAAGAAATTCTGAGCTGAAGGGGTCCCCTGCTCAGTGTTTCCTCATACTATGTGGCCCATGGGGCCAGGGCACAGCCCTGGAGGCATGGAAGATGCTAGATTGAGGAGTTCATGTGACCTGGACTACTAGGTCATTCTTTAGCGACAGAGTACTGAGGGGTATGTGACCAGCAGATGAGACAATAAAGACAGGAAAGCTTGGGACCAGCACGTCTTACACAAGCTGATGGCTCACACAGCAATGTATTAAGAAACACAGCCCCTTATATACAGCTTTTAGGGGGAGACATGGGGTAAAAAATCAGCAGAAAGTTATCATAAATAGGGCAAAGTCATCAAGAAACTAATCAGCAATATTGCACAGAGGGCAACCTGACTACTTCAAGGGCACCAGAGACTGAGCACAGAACTTGGGGGCTGATAGCTCCAGTCCCTTCGGGAGAAGAGGCAAGAGCTCAGAGAATAAAACTTTAGCTCCTTTGAGACCCTGGGTGAGTGACGGAGACAGCTTGTTTTGCTGGTACAGCTAGTTGTGTAACACTTGTGGGTCTTTACTTGGCTTTCCTGAGAACTTCTCCTGGTGTTACTGCTGGTCCCTCCTGCTGACTGGAGCTGAGGCTGAGACCTGGCTGTCTCTGCTAGGTCAAGTCACTGTTGTTGCTAACCTGACTCTGCTGAACTGGACTGCTGGTGTATCCATGAAGTGTTTGTGAGTGGATCGAGCTGCCACTGCCTGCTAACCTGTGAACCGAACTGCCGATTTCCAGACAACACAGATGGGAGTTGCTCCAAAGAACCTTTCTAAACAGGTCCTCGTCCTCCATATACTTTCTTTTCTATTACTTATGATGGGTGGTGGGCTACAAGGAAGGTTGAAGTGCTTAAGAACCATCGTTAAAAATAGGATTTGAAAAAATTAAAGTTACAGTCATGGAATGGAACTGGCCTAAGGGAGAGGCTATGCTTGCTACAAACAGAAGAGTTGAAAGGGTGGAAGTGTCTAAGTCTTTTGGAGCCCAGTACATTTCATTAGGCACCCCATGGAGTTGTGGAGTTGTAGGGTTTGGTGCTTATATTTCTGAGTTTGGGCCTTGCTTTGGTCTGATATTTCCTTGCTGTGTCCCAATTCTTTCATTCTGGAACAAAAAATGTTATTCTGTGCAATTGTATGATAGATGTATGTAAGCTTATTTTTTTCCCCACCGTGTGACCCACTTCAGTGCCTGCAAACTACAGGCACAAAGGCTGGGTAATGGGTAGGAGCCACAGTTTGCTCTAGCATGGGACACTATAGAGGCCCAGGGGGACGGTAACTTGAGTTTTATTAGGTATGAGCTCACAGTTAAGAGTTTGCCTTGAGTCTCAAATGAGATACAGGCTTTGGATTCTTAAACTGTTGAAATTGTCAAAGACTATTATTTTGAAGTAATATTTTGTACTATGCGATTATCATGAGACTCTGGGTACAAAGTATGGAAGAGTATGTTTTAAAGTGTGATGTATTTGAGTATCAAGTTGACAGTGGGTTGAGTTATGCTGGCTAATTTCAACTGTCAATTGAGATGTCGAATCACCTGGGAGATGGGCCTCCGACATGTCCGTGGGAGATTGTTGTGATTACCTTGAGGTAGTAGGAGCTGTCCACTGTGGGTGCACCATTCCCTCAGACTGTATAAACGGGGGAAAGACAGCTGAGCACCAGCACTGCTCTCTGCTTCTTCACCCTGGATGCACTGTGAACAGCTGCTTCAAGTTCCTGCTGCTGAGATTTCCCTACGATGGTGGCCTGCAACTCTGAGCTGTGAGCTTAAACAAACCCTTTCCCCCTTAATTGCCTTTGTCAGGGTATTTTATCACAGCAACTGGAAGAGCAATACACCTGCCAGCTGAGGCACCTACGGATGTATTTGAAAAGTCTGTTGATTGAAGACTTTGCTTGTTCTGTTACTGTAAAAACTGTTAACCGTATGGAATCTGGGGCAACCTAAATTATTTAACTGTATCATGGTCACTGTCATAGTTGCAGCATTTCCATTGCTACAATGACACACCATGACCAGTGGTCTGAGTTACACTCTGTTAGGAAAAGTATCAGCTCAGGACTCCCAGACCAAATTCTCAGCACAAAGGAGGTGGAGGGTGGGTGGGGGTGGCCACGGATAGACACCCACAGACCTGCCTCTGCTGAATGACAGACACAGGTGGGCTAGACACATACAGAGATTAGGCTACTGCCATGCGGCCCACGCAACACAAGAAGGGGAAGACATCCAGAGACCTGTCCATTGCCGTGCTACATGGTACTGGTGAGGAAAGATGCTCAGAGATCCGCCCTCTGCCACAGGATGCAAGCAGGCAGAGAACACATAGAGCCCCTCCCATACCCATTGCATGTGGTGTGGGAGGTGGAAGATGCCTCACCCACACAGTGAGGACAGAGGAGGTCCTCCACAGGCCCACAAGTGGGAGCCACTACAGTGTGTAAGCCTGTGGTGGACAGATGGGTAAGAAAGAGATATGGAGCAGTTGTGTGAGCGCTATGAAGCAAGGTGGAACTGGAGACTCGAGGGTGGAGAGGAACAGCCTGTTGTGATTACCTAGTTCTGCTACCCGAGGCCATGGTGAAGTCCTAGCTCATGCTGCCACTGAGAGCCATGTCTGGGTCCATGTCCATGCACCAGCAGAGGTCAGTGTCAGTGTCCAGGCCTCGTATTAGCACTAAAGAAGATGGGAACATCCCTGGGCAGCCATCAGGGACCATATGGATGTCCAAGGACTGTGACAACTGGCCATACCTTCACTGGCTGCAGTGCTCTGGAGAGGTGGCTGACCTATCATGTAGACGGTTGGCCTGGTTTTTTTATTTTTATTTTTTTTGTCTCCCAGCTCCATGCTCCCAGAAATAAGACTCAGACTCGAGATATATTTGCAAATACTATCTTAGTTAGGGTTTTACTGCTATGAACAGACACCATGACCAAGGCAACACTGATAAAGATAACATTTAATTGGGGCTGGCTTACAGGTTCAGAGGTTCAGTCCATTATCATCAAGGCAGGAGCATGGCAGTATCCAGATAGGCATGGTGCAGGAGGAGCTGAGAGTTCTACATCTTTATCTGACTCCCATGTGGTTAGGAGGAGGGTCTCATTGCCCACTACCATAGTGACACACTTCCTCCAACAAGGCCACACCTGCTAACAGTGCCACTCCCTGGACCAAGCACATACAAACCACCACAAATACATTGGCCATATAGCTAGGCTCTTCTCTTGACTAGCTGGTAATTAAAATAACCCATTTATTTTAACCTACATTCTTCCATGTAGCTGGTTACCTGTGCTCAGGTACCATGTGTCCATCTCCTTAAATATTCCCAGGCAGATCTTTTCATGCCTGGTTCTATCTCAGAATTCTTTTTGCCTGCTGAATGTTTCACCTTCTACTCCCTGCCTGAGTCATAGGCCATAGACTTTTTAATTGACAGGTGATGCATCCATAAAATATACAAGATATAATCTCTATAGTTCTCCCTTTTATTCCAATAAAAGGCTCTTTTTCTTTCAATTTGAATACAAATTGAATACAATTATAACAATTATGAAACAATTATGAAAACTATAAGGTATGATATACATCTAAAATGTCCAGTCCATTTAAATCTGGCAACTTAGATAAAGTATTATCTTTCTTGTCTTGGTGAGTTCACAGTTCTGTATCTAAATTATTTTCTATTCTAACTTGTATTACCATCCTAAAAAAAAATCTTTATAGATCTAGAACATCTTCTTAAATCCTAAACAACTTAAGCTTATAGTAAGACTCTATCTAGTCTTCAACCTCATCAGAGACCCGAGAAGGGATAAATATGTTCTGAATTTGCAGGAAGTGCAGTCAGCAGCTTCCTAGATTAAGAATTGACAGACAGTTGGCTGCTTGGACAGCTACCTAGAATTCTCTCTCTAATGTTGGAGTGTCCATCTTCAACCTTCTGCCCAGTATATCTGACAAACTTTTTGTGAAGCAAGAATTATGAAAGATTTGCTTATCTTGTCTTGGCAGAGCTTGGCAGTTGACTTCCCTGCATCTGTTTGTCCTTTCTCTACGGACTTGTCTGTAGTAGAAGCATGGACATTTTCTTTGCCCAGTGGCTAGCTTGCCATAGTTGAAGCTATTCCTCATGGAAGTTATTGATGCTCATCATCTTTGAAGTGGAGTAGAGGTACTGTCAGGAGCAGACCTGTCTCATAGTCAAAAGATCTTTTAATAATGAAATAATTTTAAATGCCATATTTTGTGGATCTCTGAGGTTTTTGAAGACCAACTATCTGCCTATAGTATATCTGAATTGTCAGACGTTTCTTACTCTTAGCCATTTACGATCTGAATAACTTTGAAACCATCTCATTGTAATTACCTAAACTAGTATCTAATATGACCATGAGTTTGAAATCTATTAATTTGATATTTCTTAACCATTCCTAATAGTTTGTAACTTTTTTTATCATTCCTAACAGTTTGTGATAGCAGCTTTTAAAAGGGCTAGAACTTTATATTCATCTCTAATGAATACAAATTAATTCTTTATATTCATTCTCTAATAACAATTATATAAGTACAATATCTCAGATAAACATTTAGAACACGTATAAATTGTGTGACCAAATAATAACCTTAAATTTGTATCAATATACAACAACCTATGCCAATGTATCAAAATAACCTTGTTTTTCTACATATCAATATACAAAAATCTGCACCAATTTAACAAAATATAACCCCAGTTGTGTATCAAATATAAAGATCCTTACTAGTGTAAGATTATGGCTATAAAATGTTTTTCTAGTTTAAGAATAGACTCAATAATCTATTCCCATTTATCTAATGTTTTTTATTATATTTTATAATATTCCTATGTACCCTTCTTTCTTTTTAACCCTCTTCCCCTTACCTAAGAAAGATAGAAAAAAGGAAAGGAATGAGAAATGAAATCCCTGAATCTAATATCCCTATTTTGTCTCCTCCCTCTTCATGCTTTGCTATCCTGAAACTGCTCTGTAGACGGATGACTATGTACATCTAGACAGCACAGTAGAGCTGTCTCTGGTGGATGGGATGCAAGTGGAGCAGGCCCGATAGGAATGGGCCCCATAGAGCTGGCCCTGCTACTTGTCTGCTGTGATGTGGACTGTGTACAGGGTGTGTGTGGGGGGGGGTTGATACCCTCTCTGCACCACCCTCACCGCCTGAGGTAGTTGGGAGAGCTGGCCCCATCCCTTGCCAGCTGTCGCACTTGGGAGAGCGGGCCCTGACCTAAACCTTGCCTGGGCACTATAGCGCTGCTGGCCCTGATGGCAAAGGCATGGGTGAGTCAGCACCAAGGGAGTGAGACTAGGAGGGCTGGCCTAGCCCCTCATTAGATGCAGGACTTGAGTGAGTGGCAAGGACCAGCCTTAGTTAGAGAGGGGGCCCTGAGGAAGGAGTGTTTGGGGTCAGGGGAAGAAAGGGCTTGAAGTCAGTGATGGGGTGTAACCTGACAGCTCTGCGTTCTGCTAAAGACAACTCTCTAGATAGAAGTCTAGACAGTTCATCTCTCAAAGACCAAAGGCTAGTCTTTTATTTACATATTAATTCAATCATTACCCCAGGTTCCCTTTTGATTATCCCATAAATCAGCATTTTATGACCTTAGTCCCTTGATTCTTAGAAACAGCAAGTACATTTATTTTAAACATAGCAAATGAACTTAGAAATTTGCCTGCCTGTGTAAGCACAAACAGTAAGTTTAGCTGGGTGGGATCCGTCCTGAGATCACCATTCTCTCACTTCCTGGTGCTCCTTTTGAACCATGAACCTTGATTTTTTTTTAACTATTTTCCCCTTTACTGACTTATTGCTGTAGCACTCTCTGTTTTTTTGGGTCTATGAAGCCCCTCATACAATTCATATTGCATGCTTATATTTTGCCTAGTTGAGAAATTATGTATTCTTGAACTCACGTTTTCAGAGTTCTTCCTCACAGTCTTAAGGGCTGTCCTGAAGGTCACAGTGTTTACCATTTTGCTGAGAAACATTAGACACACCCGCTCCTCCCGGATTTGTGCTGTGTATTATCGTGGAGTCATTAACCTTGGCAGAACATTTCCTGAAGAAGGAACATAAAGTAAATTATGTACATTAATATACAAATAAGCCTTATGCCTATCAAACTTCAACACTCTGCTTCAGGGGCAGAAAATAGTGTCATGATGTCCCTTCCACAGCCAAACAGGACTTAGAAGGAGAGTGAGCCCCCAGGAGAGTGGGCCCTTTGCCTTGACTGGGAAGCACAGTGGAGCTGGATCTGGAGGTATG